CTTTCCTTAAGCTTAAGTATCATCTTATGATTAAAACCCAAGCTTAATTTCTACTAAAAACCAACTAATAAGAAATCTCACCTTTGCTCTTGGCTTCCACACGTGAAGAAGAAAGGAGAAGAAGAGAACTCTGGAAACTGGAACCTTGTTCCCTTCATTTCCACGTGTTATATCCTATATAAAGGAGGAAGAAAAAAAAATCTTTCTTGTGAAATTACCATTATACCCTTCATCTAATCCAATAAGGAATTATTCATATCTAAATCATTGAACTTTCAACTATCCTACTTTTATCCCCAAATTCTAAAATTTTACCATTTAATCCCTAACCCGGTATTGAGGATGTTACAGAAATCATACGCAGATTTAAAGATAAAATAGATAGAATAACAAGTTGGAGATAAAGTGTTTCTCAAAGTGTCTCAATAGAAGAAAGTTTTGAGGTTTGGACGTAAGGGAAAACTTAGTCCTAGATTCATCAGACCGTATAATATCGTAAAGAGAGTTGGACCAGTGGCATATCAACTGGCGTTGCCACTTGAAATGGAGAGAATTCACAATGTCTTTCATGTCTCAATGCTTCGGAAGTATCGATCTGATCCCTCCCATATCGTGACTCTAGAAGAGGTTGAGGTTCAACCGGATTTGACTTATGAAGAGGAACCGATTAAAATCTTAGCTCACGAGATTAAGCAACTAAGAAACAAGACTATTCTATTAGTTAAAGTATTATGGAGGAATCACAGATAGAGGAAACAACATGGGAACGTGAAGAGGACATGAGGATTCAGTACCCCCATCTCTTCGCATAATGAAAATTTGAGGACGAATTTTCTTAAGGGTGAGAATTGTAACAACCTTAATATCGGGTTAGTGACTAAATTGTAAAACTTCAAAATTTGGTAATTAAAGCAGAATAATTGAATAGTATTGTAATTTGGTATAGGGTTAAATTGCAAGGAATATGGAATTGAGGGATAGAATGGTCATTTGTAAGGAAATAATTAAAGAAGGGATATATATATTAGCTACACGTGGAAAAGAATGAAGAAAAACACAAGGTTCCAGAGTTCTCTTCTTCTCTTCTTTCTCCACACGTGAAGAGGTCAAAACAAAGGGGAGATTTCTTATGAGTTAATTGTTTGCTGAAATTTAAGTTTGGTTTTGCTCCTTAGATGCTAATTAAGCTTAAAGAAAGCTTAATTTGCTTTAAAGCAACAAGATGAAGGGTGTAGGAAGAAGTAAAGATTAGGAGTTCTTGAATGGAATTTTAAAATAGAGTTCATATTTGAAATTGGAGGTTGAATTTGACTTGTCATCGACTTAATTAAGACATACGAAGTGTTAGAATTAGATTTAGAACATGTTGGAAATTGAGGGAGATTCTTGAAATCTATGTGGAGGATTGAATTTTTAAGTTTAAGAGGTATTGAATGGGTATTAATTAGTTTAAGTATGTGTATGCAAGTTAAGGATATAAAAAGAGGGGAAATATAAAGTGTTGAGAAGATTATGAAGATATTTTCGTGCTAAAATAACATTTCTGGGCTATGTGCATCGATGCACATTCAATGTACCGATGCATCAAGGGTAAAATCCTAGAAATTGTTCAAGGTATATCTATGCACATGAAGTATATCGACGCACTCCTTTAAACTAAAAACATCGAATGCCATCAGTGTACCGATGCACAAGTAGTGCATCGATGCACCCGCTTAAAATACAAACATCGAATGAGATTTATGTACCGATGCATAGATAGTGTATCAATGCACCCGTCAAGGGATGCATCGATACATGGTGTAGTGCATCGATACATACATTCATTAAATGATGAAAATAACTTTGTTTTAGCCTAAGGAGTGATAGTTTAGAATATATCAATTAGTATACTGATATATATTAATGTATTACTGTGTAGATTTAGAACGTAATCTCGTTCCGGAACAATCGAAGGATTAGAATCGAGTCAAAGCAAGGCTAAGGTGAGTGCATATCCTAGATGAAATAGAATTGAGATAAGACTTGCGATAAGTCTATCTCTTATCATTGAATTTATGATTCCATATTCATGCACATGCATATATATATATATGTTAACATTATAGTGATTCCATGCATTTTTCATTCATGATTTAACATGATATTATATGAATGAATGTCATTATCAGAGAATCCTTCCAGGTATGTGAAATAATGGAAATGATCATATGAAGTGACTTATGTGTTTACATGGACAATGATTAAAGAGATATGAAATGAGAAATGTAATTATAATTAAACCCATGTTATTTAATATGAGAGATGTAGGCATAATTGGCATGCTAAGGGTCGAGGAATTATCAGTGGTCCTTCGGGACATATTGGTCCTTCGGGACAAATATTCAGTGCCCCTAGTGGGATTTTATTCGAGCTGTGGTGACAGCATTGTGCACAACCTCAGTATACTCGCGTACCTTCTGTTCTCAATAATGTACATAGGCAATCCAAAGATAAATTAAAGTGAAATTAGCATGAGAATGTATGTATTATGTGTACATGTTATCATCATATATGTTATAGTGTAATAGATACATGAAAGTTGAAATGTCCTGATCAATGATAAGAATGCATGTTCATAAATTCATTGTTATACATGTTTATACATATATTTATGTTATGCTTCACTAAGTCTATGACTTAGCGTGTAAGTGATTTACACGTAGGTATCAAGAAATAAGAAGAGCAGTAATAGAAGTGGCAAGGACATCATCACTACTAAAAGATCAGATCAGAAGTAATTGACAAAGTATGTATTTTGGTTGTGTATAGAGTGTTGGCATGTAATAAGTTGTTAATTACGAATGCTCTGATCAATTTTGTATTTTGTGGTCTCTTTTATGTAAATTAACGTATTTTGTTTTAATGAAAGTTTAAAATTTTCATGTTTTCTTTAAGTGTCAAGTTAAAAAGTCAATGTGACACTTCAGACTCGCATCCGGGTCGGGTACATGTTGGGGGTGTTACAAGAAGTTAGAAACAATAAATTTGGATAAAATCTCTTTAACAAGGATTAAATCAAAACTTGAGCGACAAGCTAAGGGAACTGCGAATTGAAAGATAACAATCTGGTAGACAATGGAACATTTCAACTAAAAAATTGGGGCTTTGGAGAACCTCTAAACAGTAAATTTAAAGATGATATAATCAGTCAGCAGTTTAGTGGGATAAGTTTGATACACAGGAAACACCGGCATGGCACTACGGGTATAAAAGCATCCACCATATGCAGCATGCATAGTTGTGATTGTGAGTATCCGTATTGTAGTTAGCAATTATCGATCGAACACCAGTCGGATCTCAAGCTCCTCTTTGGAAGAGTCAACAAATAAAAGTCTGATAATCAGGCTGTGAATCTCCAATGTTCAATTAGTTTACATCAACCACAACATTTCCCAGATCATCTGCGCAAAACCAAGGAATCGTATGCTAAGTCATAGCATACAAAATTGAGCACAAACATATATTTAACCACACACATAAAACTAGTATAAAGACAAATGTAATCAAACCTTCGTATATGGTCCTCGCAAAATTTACACTCAGGTATGAGATCCCTATATATGATTCCTTCGGGATGAGCATCAAGGACAAGTAGGACTCCTGTCACACCAATTCATACCAAGCTAATTTATATTGAATCATCTTATTGTAAAACAAAGAAATATTAGTAATTTAGTAGGAACTGAAAACAGATAATTTCCTGCAAGTTCACTTAGAACCGAATGCAAAGCCTACAGAAAGTGCTACCTGGAGCCGTACATCCCTGTTTTGAATTGCTCGGCAATGGAGCACGCCAGAGAATATGTAATCTAGCATATGCGCCACTCCGTTAGCATTGCGAGGAGTACAATTTAGATAGTAAGAAATTGGATTTTATAGTATGGGTAAAGATCACAAATCATCACATAACGTTTTTCTTTCTCCTATTTTGATCACTAAGAATTAAAAATTTTCAATTTAATAATTCAGCTTTGAAGATCGATTTTTGGTCATTCTCATATTATCTTCTAACATTGTGATGACATGCCATTTTTTTTAATTTTAAAATTCCAGTGGATTTCAATTAAACTTTAGATATTTACTTCTTATTTAACAAAACTATAAGATATTATTGATTAAAGAAAATAAAACTATAAAAATAATGGCCCATTTTATATACTAGGGTAAAGTATGTAAATGATCTCCGATTACATGGTATTGCTTTATTGAATCACTTATATATTAAAAGTTACAAAATAGTTTTATAATTATTTATATGTTTTAAACTTGTCATTTTTTGTTAAAACAATAATGATCGCCTGAGTTGAACGTTAACATATTGACTGAGATATGATAAAATTTGATCATAAAATCTTTTGAGTTGTATTTTGTAAATCGACTTTTCGTTTACATTATGTCATCGAGTCGATGTTTGAAACATTATGTCGTCGAGTCAATGCTTGAAAATAATGGTGATGCCAGTAGGCAACATTAAAATATGATTTTTTTCATATTTCAACCAATATGTTAATGTTCACCTCATGCAATCTTCAATTTTTTAATAAAAAATGATGAATTTAGAACATAAAAATAATCTAATAATCATTTTATAACTTTTAAAAATTGAAAGACTTAACAAAATAGTAATTTATAAAAAATATTTTATAACATTTAATAAATAAAATACGTAATAAAATAATATTTTTCAATAAAAAAAACATTTATCATATAAACCATTTATGTACTCTATCGGATATACGAATAGAATAGTTTGATTCGATAACGAAAATCGCCGCCATTTCAAGAACATTCACGACAACACGGTCAATTTCTACATCTCATACGTGTCAATTCTGCATTGGATACAATATGTTGTTATATTCCAAAATTGCCAACTAAAAGTTCATCATTTCGATAACGTGGCATACAATCAATCGGTCGAACACTCTAGCACCTAACACGCTCACTCCCGTATAAAAATGCCACCCTCTGGTTTCATCTTCCTCACTCAATTAAAAAGAAGAAAAAAAGAGTTAAAATTTCCTACTAAATTGCAGAGACTCAAAAGCAACAATGGCGGCCAAAACCAAGGCGTTTTGGGTTTTTCATCTGTTTTTCTTAACATTGTTTTTTATGAAGAATTCTTTTTAGGAATTGCAGTAGCAGCAAGTGAACCGAAGTTAGGAACTGTGATCGGAATCGACCTGGGGACAACGTATTCTTGTGTGGGAGTTTATAAGAACGGTCACGTAGAGATTATAGCCAACGATCAAGGGAATCGAATCACCCCATCATGGGTTGCATTCACTGATTCAGAGCGTTTGATCGGAGAAGCCGCCAAGAATCAAGCGGCTCTCAATGCAGAATGCACCATCTTTGATGTTAAACGTCTCATTGGAAGAAAGTAAGTTTTCAACTTCTTTGTTAAACTAGTTTGATTATTGTTTCCACTTTGTTTTCTACTTCTGGAGATGAATTAAACTTTGGGTGTTTGATTTAATGCCAGATTCAATGATCCAGAGGTTCAAAGAGACACAAAGTTCTTGCCTTACAAGGTCGTTAACAAAGATGGTAAGCCATACATTCAAGTCAAGGTTAAAGGCGAGACTAAAGTTTTCAGCCCTGAGGAAATCAGTGCTATGATCTTAACAAAAATGAAGGAAACAGCTGAAGCTTACTTGGGGAAGAAGATTAAGGATGCTGTTATTACTGTTCCTGGTACAATTAAAACCTCCATGACCTCTTTTATATGAACTATAGAACCATTAATTAACATGAATATGGTTTAATGAAATCTGTTTTTTTTTTTAGCATATTTCAATGATGCACAGAGGCAGGCTACTAAGGATGCAGGCACCATTGCCGGGCTGAATGTGGCTCGGATCATCAATGAGCCTACAGCTGCAGCCATTGCCTATGGCTTAGATAAGAAAGGGGGAGAGAAGAACATCTTGGTTTATGATCTTGGTGGTGGTACATTTGATGTTAGTATCTTAACCATCGATAATGGAGTCTTTGAGGTTCTCTCAACAAGTGGAGACACCCATTTGGGAGGGGAAGATTTTGATCATAGAGTGATGGACTATTTCATCAAGCTGATCAAGAAGAAATATAACAAAGATATTAGCAAAGATAACAAGGCTTTAGGGAAGCTTCGTCGGGAATGTGAACGAGCCAAGAGAGCTTTGAGTAGCCAACATCAAGTTAGAGTCGAGATCGAGTCGTTGTTTGATGGGGTTGATTTCTCTGAGCCATTGACAAGGGCAAGATTTGAAGAGTTGAACATGGACTTGTTTAAGAAAACTTTAGGACCGGTGAAGAAGGCATTGGATGATGCAAATTTGAAGAAGTCTGATATTAATGAAATTGTGCTTGTTGGAGGCAGTACTCGGATCCCCAAGGTCCAACAGGTATTGAAGGACTTGTTCGATGGCAAAGAGCCCAACAAGGGCATCAATCCAGATGAGGCGGTAGCCTATGGTGCGGCGGTTCAGGGTGGAATTTTAAGCGGTCAAGGTGGCGAAGAAACCAAGGGTATTGCTTCTTTTTCATTGGTTTTGCACTAAATTGTATTGAATTTGAAATCTTGACGGACCATTAACAAGCTTTTTTTTTTTTTTTTGCAGACATTCTTCTTCTTGATGTTGCTCCTTTGAGTCTTGGCATTGAAACAGTTGGTGGTGTTATGACTAAGTTGATCCCAAGGAACACCGTCATCCCAGTTAAAAAATCTCAGACTTTCACCACATATCAAGACCAGCAATCCACAGTTTCCATCAAGGTATATCAATCAATGGAAATTGCAAACAAATCTTGATAAGGCAAATTCTGTTATAACTAAAGCAACGCTAGTTGCATTTATGAAATTACAGGTTTATGAAGGAGAAAGAAGCTTAACGAATGATTGTCGCGAACTCGGAAGATTCGATTTGACGGGTATTCCACCGGCTCCAAGGTGAGTCTGATATTTGAAATATGATCATCACATTGTTTTTCAACTCTTCTATTAGTGATGTAATATAACCATTTGGTTCTTTTGGTTTCTGCTATTGCAGGGGAGTTCCACAAATTGAAGTCACATTTGAGGTTGATGCCAATGGCATCCTCCATGTAACAGCAGAGGACAAAGCGGCAAAGAATTCACAATCGATCACGATAACGAACGAGAAGGGGCGTCTCAGTCAGGAAGAGATCGAAAGGATGGTGAAGGAAGCCGAGGAATTCGCAGAAGAGGACAGGAAAGTAAGGGAAAAGATCGATTCCAGGAACAAGCTTGAGACATACATATACAACATGAGGAGCAGCATTGATGACATGGACAAGCTTGCAGACAAGATCGATTCCGAAGACAAAGAGAAGATTGAAAACACCTTGAAAGAAGCTCTGGAATGGTTAGATGATAATCAAAACGGAGAGAAAGAAGATTTCGATGAGAAGCTTAAAGAGGTTGAAGCAGTGTGTAATCCAATCATAAAACAAGTTTATGGAAAAAGTGGTGGAAGTTCAAGTGGATCAGCAGACGATGAGGAACCTACTGATGAATTGTAAAATAGGATTTATATTCATTTCGTTGCTTTTTACAATGTATTTCGGTATATGAGGTGATGAAGTATAAACTTTTTTCTTTTTCCTGGATATCGTTTGAATATGAATATATAAACATTGTACTAGAGATAATTCAAATATGATTTAGTGAATATATTCGAGTCCACGAATACAAATAAATTATACATACATATATATATATAATATTAAATTAATTATTGATATCTAATTTACTGACAGATTAATTCAGATTAGATACTATAAAGACGAGGACGATTCTTTTAACCTAATTTGTTCTATTCGTAAAACGATAAGATTTGGAATTTAAATTTGTTAACTTTCTTATTTTCTCAAATTTTAATCAAAATTAAAATAATTTTTAATTTGACATTATTAATTATTAAATCAATTTGAAATTAAATTATATTAATTTTTTGGTTAATTGAAATCTTTTCATACCAGGATTGATTGACGATTGTCCTATTATCAGAAAATTAATTCTTAAGATGAATATCAATTTCTTCAATTTTTAATATTCAATGTTAGTTTAAAAATTAAATAATTAAAGCATTTAAAAATTCAGTAATAATTGTAGTTTACTCAAAGATTGTAAAGCACTTGCACATATACTGTAGTGGTATTATAGTATCTTCCCACCGTACTGACCGATAGGAGATCATAAAATAATTTGCGTATTAAGTATTTTTAATTATTTGACAATAAACATTTAATTATTTTTATAATTGTTGATGTTTGAACTCTTAAAAATAATAATAATTTTTTTAATCACCGATATAATTTAATTCGTACAACAAAATTCAAATTGAAATAATTTTTTCTAAAAAAAATGTATACACACTATTTATACACACTAACTTATGTATTTATTATTTCTTTTATTTAGATTTTTAAAATTTTATCAAAAAATTTCATTTATTATTTACATGTAAAAAGATTATTGCAGAGCAAGCATATTTAACCTCATTTCTAGGTTATAAATTTTAGATTTATTAGAAGTATTTCTTTTACTTCTTCTTTAGAATCTTCTTTTCCGTATCTTCTAAATAAATTAAGAATTAAATTTAGAATTTATAAAGAAATTATCTAATAATTTAACTTTGTAAATAAAAATTATCAGAGCCGGCATCTTTGTCTTAAAACCTAAATTAGTTAAGTTGGTTCAATTTGTTGTTTAGAATTTTTCTTTTTAATTTCATTTAATTTTTTGTCTTGTTTCAAGTATTTGATAAAATTGATATATATATATATATATATATATATAATTTTGATTATTTTGAGGTAAGTATTTAACATTGAACACACTAGCATTCATGATGCTGACACGCTAGCATTACTTGAGGTTCAAGTTGATTTTCTTCGTTTGGATAAATCCATCTCCTCCGAAGTCCAACCCCACCGTTCCCTTATGTCATCCTCGGACGATATCCTCCCATCATCCGACCCGGACTCTTCTTCGGGTCCAACTCAGCCCCAAATTTCCCACGCCATCCATCAGCTCTCCTTCAACCAAGACAACACCTGCTTCTCCGCCGTCACCGACCGCGGTTTCCTCGTCTTCAACACCGACCCTTACCGTCCCCTCCTCCGCCGCGACTTCGACTGCGGCCTCTCCCTCCTCTCCATGCTCTTCCGCTTCGAAGTCTTCGCCCTCGTCGGCTCCTCCTCCTCCGCCTTCTCCGCCGCCACAACCAACACCAAAGCTCTCCTCTGGGACGACCACGCCTCACGGTGCGTCGGCGAGCTCTCCTTCCGTTCCCCAATCCGCTCCATCCGCCTTCGTCGCGACACCATCATCGTCACTCTCCTCCACAAAATCTACGTCTACAACTTCTCGGATTTAATGATGTTACACCAGATTGAAACGACGTCGAATCCCAAGGGCTTATGCGAGGTTTCTCAGGTTTCGGGGCACATGATGTTGGTTTGCCCAGGTTTACAAAAGGGCACAGTGAGAGTAGAGAATTATGGAAGTAAAAGGTGTAAATTCATTAAGGCCCATAGCTCCAACATCACGTGCTTGGCTTTGACTCATGATGGCAGGGTCTTCGCCACTGCTAGCTGTAAAGGAACCCTAACCAGAGTTTTCAATGCTTTGGACGGGACATTGATTCAGGAGGTAAATTACTATATTTTTTTACAATGATTTTCCTTCAAATAATCTATCACTTGAGTTGAAAGTCTATTGTTTTGGATGTAGTATGTGTGACATTCGATGTTAACTCTGCAAGTAAACATAGGTTACTAGTTGGTCTAGTGGGAACACGGGATGAAGCACTAATCCTTTAAATAAGGTTAAAAGTTTGAATTCTAGTATCGTGGATTGAGTAAACTGGATTGGAAGGATCGACTTGTAAATGGGTTTATGTAATACTCAATTTCGGATGATAGACCAATAAATAATTAGTAAATGGTGTTATTTAAGTTAAAAAGAAAAAGTCGGTGCAGGTAAGGAGAGGGGCAGATCGAGCAGAGATATATAGCCTAGCTTTCTCTTCAACAGCTCGGTGGCTAGCCGTCTCGAGTGACAAAGGAACTGTCCATGTCTTTAGCCTCAAGGTTGATTCAGCAGTTTTGGGGAATGATACGTCAACAAGTGCATCCGAATCACCTGTTTCAAATCAATCAGCCTTATCATCCCTTTCTATTTTGAAAGGTACAATCCCTCAAACTTGTTTGTTTTATGAAAGTGTCAACTAAGGATTGATCTGGTTTTGAACCTCTGCTTTGTTATTGGATTTGGTTAAAGCATAAATCTAGGAGGACAGGAGGGACTGCTTGACATACCACCCTATTATTTCTCATCTGTTCCTACTTTATGTTCTGTAATTTTCGTAGGTGTATTGCCAAAATTTCAGCTCAGAGCGGTCAGTGGCTCAGTTTCGGCTTCCTGAAGGTTCACGGTACGTTGTTGCTTTCGGACAACAAAACAACACTGTCATGATCATCGGGATGGATGGAAGGTAATTGAAATTATCTTATTGCACGAGTGTCTAATACTTGTTTAATCCATCGTATTAGCATGTTTGAGTTATTGAGAATGAGATTCTTGATTGACCCCTTTTGTTTTGTCTTGTTAATGCAGCTTCCGTCGATGCCAATTTGACCCGGTAAACGGTGGACAGATGACCCAAATGGAAGAACACAATTTCTTAGAGGAAGAAGGAGCATTTTCAAAGCTGGAATGAAGAAGATTCATATAAAGTTTTTTGTGTAACTGACAAGATTTAGGGTGTTAATATATGCATAACAGATTAAATATCCGTGTAAATGAGAGTTATGTTAGCTCTTAGATTTAAGTATCTTTTAACTGCAATTTCCTAAATTGTTCATATTAATTTCATATATATTTTTTTCAACTTGATAAACTAAAAATGCCCGGTGGCGGCAGTTTATCTCAATAGATTGATTGAAATTTTGACGTGTTTAACATTGTTGAGGTATAAAAAACTTCAAAATTTCAAATTCAATCTATGGATTTTTTAGTAAAGAATTATTTTAATTTATTTTTGAATATATTTTCATCATTCTATTATATTTTGCAACTGTTGATTCAAATTATAATTATAGATTATATCACATTTACGATTCGAATAAAATTTAACATTTTTATATTAAAAATATATTTATAGAATTTAATAACGAAATGACTACAGAGATAATGATAATAGATTTATATATAAATCCGCTGATCTGCTGTTCAATCCTTAAAGAGGAGTATATTTTAATTGTTTAATTTAAAAAATAAAAAAATAAATTTTAATATTATTCATTGTCATTTAAAGTGAAGGTAGATTAATTTCTTAAATAGGTTTATATCTAGATAACTTTTGACAACAAACTCAATTAAAAGCTTAATTAATATATAGATTCAAAATTTTAATAATTGATGACAATCATTTAAATCAACATTTTAGTTTGGCAAAAAGAAAAATATTTCATTAATAGGCGTTTTCTTTGGATCGATCATAACAGAACTATATAAACTAAAACTCTCATCAATGTGATGATCCATTTAGGCTAACTAGATAATTTTTTATTCTCGTCAATGAAAGAACCACCAAACAAATTATATATATTTGACTCAACAAAATTTCAATTAATTTGAAATAAACCTAGAAAATCACATTTTAACTAAGCTTACCATGAATTTAGATATTGTCCGCATTTTCTGGAGGGCCACCGGCAATCAAACCCCATACACCACCGGAGCCTTGTCTCCGCTTTGTGTTCAGACAGCTTGTTCCGATGCGGCTTTTTGCCGTTGTAGGAGCTCAAGTTCCTTTCTTAGTGTTTCCATTGACAGTAGTTTTTTGTCGATGTTCTGCGATATCACCTGGTGAATCAAGAATATTAGAAAAAAATCACCCAGTTTGCGGAATTCAGAGTTGAATGGCCATTCAACACGGAGAAAGCAGATAAAATTACAAGATAAGCCAAAAGCACATATATTCTACTGGTTTTAATATACCTCTAATTTGAAACTCGACTGCTCAGCAGCAAGTTGACCACGTATAGATTGGAGCTCCTGAGATGTAAACAGGATATAGTGAGAAAATATCTGAGCTAATATACTACAATGTTTTGAGCTTTAGAACCGAACCAGTCGAACTACCAGACCTGCCGTTGTTACACAAAGAAATTACCTTGTGCAATCTGTGTTTTGAGTTTTGGATTCGGCCAGTTCTTGCTTTAGCTGGAGAGACTGTAACTTCTCCTTATTGAGTAAGGCTTCTAGTTCTTCCTTTTCTGCCTTGAGTGTTGCTATTATGCTCTCAGTAGTCTCATCTCCTTCGAGTTTCTGCATATACATTTAAAACTTGAGCAGAAGTGAATTGACAATATATGGATATGGCGATCCAAACACCTTTAAGCTTCAATACTTCTTAATTTTCAAATTAGAAATGTTCAAAAAGTTGTTGTTAAAGTATATATAACTAACTATTTTCTATAAATTTGCAACTAAAGACTAGATAGAGAAAATTTTAAGGTTCTTTGCCAATGTTAGGAAGTATGCCAAGTCGAACATATATGTGATTAAATATTGAATGCACCATCAACATAGTACACACCTGATGCCCCGTGTCAACATTATCCATAACAATTTCTCGTATCTTTCCTTCGTGACCAACTTCAAACTCAGACTCCAAATCTCTGGTAGGATTTGTAGCATTATGGATGGCAGAAACACTATCGGGAACAGGGGTCACCATCATCTTCGATTGCAAGGTTGACTTGTGACTAGGCTTGAGAACATTAACCTGATAGCAAACATAAGAATAAAAAGAACCAAAATATCCAAGTCATAAAGAGGCTAAAACTGTCTCAGCCTCATTGTTGTAATGCCCATTATATCCTCCAAAAGATATAAGTATGTCTTCACCATTGAAGGAGCCACAACGAGACTCAAGCCCTACAATAAATTAGATAATAATTTACAATTTCAATCACAGAAGTGGAAGTTACGGGCTATTCGTAGAGGGTAATATACCACAACTAGACGACTTTTTTCTAACACGAGCATTACATACCTTTATGAGTTAAGTTTAGAAACCAATGAAAGATTGTGAAGTTAATTTATTAGAAATGATAATTACAGAGGAAGCACATCATCATATGTACAAAGTATTCTTGATTATATGCATCTTTCTACCATTCCTTGTTGATCCACATGGAGAAGTTTAATCTCCATTGAAGCATTTCCAACACAATTGAGCAGTATTCATTTGAACAATCAAGCCAATAGATATTTGTCACAAGCCATAGCATTTTACAGGTAACAATATTGGTAAACTGTAAGATACCTCACTAGCAAGAGGAACACGTTCTTCAACTGATGCCACAACTGACCAAGCAAGGGTTGACATGTTGAGGACAACAGTCTCCGATGCCCTGCGAAAAAAGGAATTTTCCTATGTTAGGGAGCAATAAAAATCAGCAAACTCCCCCCACCCCCCAAAGGAAAAAAAAACGATAAGATCCTACCAAGAATTTCCAATGTTCATATCAGAAGCAGACACTTGACAGTTGTAATAATGCTAAAACAATGTATAAACCCGGAAAATCTATGTCCAAGGAACAGGAATAATCTTGTATTTGATTTTGAAGTAAGAGATTTACCACTTTTATTGTCTCCACCACCAACAATAAACCAGTTCTCCCCAACAGTCACGCCTGCATGGCCAGCCTAGGAGTCGGTATCTCACCTTGTTGAGTGGGTCTTGACCATTCCATCTACAAATCCAAATGCACAAAAGATAGATAAACTAATTCCTAAGACAAGCACATGCAAAAATACAATGTGTAATTATCTTACAGCTTGCAAATCAAAGACATGCAAATCACTGAAGCAAGTAGCATGTGAACTCCACCAAAAATAAGAAGGAACGCTCTGCATGTACAGCTGCAGCATGATCAGCTCGTGGTAATGGAGAAACCCCCCTGCATGATAATGAAGATAAAAATTAAGATTTAGCAAGGACTAAATTTCAAAAGGAACCCTTCCAATCTGTATACAATGGATTACTCAAAATAGAAGTGCAATATAGGGATTATATATAGAAATTCAAGTTATTAACTGGAATGATGCACATTAACATTTTTGGTAATTTAAATATTGAAGCTATTACCTGGAATGAAGTTAATATAATTATGAATTCAATTTTGATCATGAGCTAATCTAATGAACTAGAATGAATTCAACCATCAGACTCTTGGCTAGTAAGATAGGCGAACCTTAATCAAGTCACATTAACAATGGATCAGGGCGCTTGTGCTCAGCAACAAGACCTTTTTTCAAAGCTAGCTCTTGAGATTTTAAGGCATCAAATATGATTTCAATTACAATCTCTATGTTAAAAGGCTGTAGAAGGAGTTCTAGCACATCTTTAAGTTTAACACAAGAATAAGTTATCCAATACACATATAAAGGGATAGTGCTGGAAACTGACAAAAACAATCTTACGGCATCAATTTTATCCCAGGTCATTGTTCTAGGTTCAGTATATGTAGATCATTCAAGAGTGTTCGCTTTGCATCCTGCCCACCAAATATCACTATGTATTTCCAACAAGGGTTACAGATTGACCTCCGCGGGAGACCTACAAGACACTCAAATTAGGTGGGGAAATCGTAATATATTGGAAAGAAATAATAAAAGAAGCTACCAAGCACTCACGCAATTGACCTTTTCCTTCATAAATTTTACTTTCAGCCTTTGTTCATGTATAGGATGTTTATTAGATTTCAGGTGAACATTACCCAATGATCAACATTACCAGGAATTCAGTTTTCAGTTTCTTAATACCATATTCAGTTAAGCAAGAAAGGTTGATCCCATCAGTGGCCATTCAGAGACATTAAAATATAAGGCTGATTAATTCTTAGTGAAGAACACAACAAACCATGACCTGCTAAAATTTCTAAATTTAGAGCTGAAACTATTTGAGTCGATGGAGGGAAAGAGATGTAACTGAGAGGAAAATCAGATAGATACCGGAGCATTGCCGTATGTATTCGACATTGACATGTACCAGTTTGCAGATCAAATGCCTTCACTGCCATAAGAATACAGAATAACAGACTAAGACATCAAGACAAAGGAGAAGAACAATAATTCTAAATTATAAAATTGTGATGAGGGGCAGAAACAAGTACCCTGGATGGTTTCAGAAGGGTCTTTTGTATGGCCAGCAATTGAAAGAAGCTTGTTCTCCCAAGGTATCTAAAGGGAAAAATAGAAGGAATAGAAAGAAAATTAGCATGAATACAAGAATTTTCAGCAAACATATTCTAATAATGTGCATTTTTTATTTGAGAATTTTGCTTTAGAGAAATCAAGGTTAAAACAAAACGAAAATGAGTTCTTTACAAACCAATGAATGACCCAGCAGGGACTATATTTACTGGAGACGATAATTCCAATGACTTAGGTTCAGTCATAGCATTAATCTTTGACCAAGTCCTCAAATCTAGAACCT